GGGAGCCAGGAATATTTATAAATTTTCACGAAGTTTGTAAAGTCCTGACTTGCTGAGTTTGTTTGCGGATTTTTCAGCATACGTTTTACTCAGTTCTTTTAAAATACCTATTTCTGTTTTATGTATCAATGTATGAACTTGCCTATATATCTTCAAATGAACACCGTCTTCAATAATCCCTCTGTTGATGTGACGTGAGATATAGACATTGCCTAGCGACGGCTCGCTTGCCTGTCGAGCCGTTCCCACGCGATGTACAATATTGAAGCAGTCATGTCACATTTTAAAAAATATTCCATGACCTCTTTCTTCCACATCTCCCCCGAATCATCCATGGTTATTTGGCCATTTATCATTCAACACTGAATAACATTAGTGGCTTATACGATACCGTCAATTGCAAAAAAAAAAAAAAAAGACAGTGACTTTGTCACCCCTAGTACCATATACTGTATAATATCGTAGTTAGATAAACATACGGATTCCTTGGATAAACGACCTAAGCTAAAGAAGGAGGTAGGTGAAAACTACACAATGAGGATCTTCATAACTTGTACTCTTCTCCAAGTATAATTAGAATGATCAAGTCAAAGAGAATGAGGTGGGCAGGACATGTAGTACGAATGGGGGAGACGAGGAATGCGTATAGGATATTGGTGGGAAAGCCAGAAGGAAAGAGACCACTGGGAAGACCAAGGCGTAGGTCGGTGGACAATATTAAAATGGATATTAGAGAGAGAGATAGAGAATGGGATGGTATTGATTGGATTGATCTGGCTCAGGATAGGGACAAGTGGAGGGCTCTTGTGAACACGGTAATGAACCTTTGGGTTCCATAAAATGCTGGGAAATTCTTGAGTAGCTGCAGAATTGACGGCTCCTCCAGAAGGGCTCAGCTCCATAAGTAAGTAAGTTAGGTAAACATTTATTTCTTTACTCAGAGCTCAAAATGTTCTTATAAAATATTTATTGCGCTCTGTAAATGAGTGACGTGGCCACTACCGCAGCTTCACAGCACTTTTGCCAACGGGGCACATTAAACCCATTTTGGTAGATACGCTTTGGTTCCGTGCGTTAAGAATAAGGGATTATGTTCATCTTTCTTCCACGTACAACACTGTTTATTCCTTATAAATTCCATTTGCTGAGCTTATATGTCACTTTTCCCTGTAACAGATGACAGAGTTCATCCCATAAGTCGAGTCGTAACTCCAGTATAACTCATTATCGCTGCCCAGCAAGGATCAGGATGTAATAATAATCTATACCTTATCATAACAAGTCAGTAATTGTAACTTGTAACGACCCAACTCAAAATGGTTAGCTTAAAGTCTCTTGTCTGTCCAAAGCCGATAACCGAAGGGTATAATCCGTAAACTGTTTATGTCCTTCCATGTCGCTCCAACTTCAGCACTAGGAGCCATTTTATGTCTGCTCTGCGCTCTCCTGTAATACTCGTATAAAATCGATGTGGTCCTATGACATATTTTGTTTCCCACTAAGCACTCCGAACCGATATCATGTATTTAGTTCACGCGCTTGGGTAGAGTCTAGCTTCGAAATGATCTAGTGAGATCTACTTTCCTTTCCGTTCAGTGTTCCTTAATTCAGTGGCGAAAAAGTAAAGAAATGTTTACAGATCTCTAGGATACGGAACTGAATGTATTTAACATTTTAACGTCCTTTTTCCTTTCATCTCCGCTTATCCCTCTATTTTATCGTTTCTTACTTTCATTTGTCCCTTGTCTCCGTTCTTTTGTTTATATTTTATTTATTGTTTCTCTTCCCCTTCTCTGTTTCTTTACGTCATTGCGCTGTGAATATACGAGTACATAGCTGTTTATGTACATAGCTCGTGGGACGAGACGACGCATAAGACTCCCACCATTTCTGTTAATTCTGTGCCTACTCCGTGACTTTGGTTGTATTAAGAATGGAAATAATACAAAAAATATTGTTAGGCAAGCCTGCACAAACGTCACTCGTTTACTCATGGAGCTGAGCCCTTCTTGAAAGGCCGCGAATTGTGCAGCTATTCCAGAATTTCTTAGCATTTTATGGAATCCGAAAGTTCATTACCGTGCTCACAAGAGTCCTTCACTGGTCCCTAGCCTGAGCCAGATCAATCCAGTCCATATCATCCTATCCTATCGCTCTATGATCCATTTTAATATTGTCCACCCACATAACGTCTCGGTCTTCCCAGTGGTCTCTTTCCTTCTGCCTTTCACGCCAATATTCTATATGCATTCGTCTCCCCCATTCGTGCTACATACTCTGCCAATCTCATCCCACTTGACTTGATCATTCTAATTATACTTGGCGAAGAGTACAAGTTATGTAGCTCCTCATTATGCAGTTTTCATATGCACAAACATATATACATAACAGTACTACCGGTTCATTGTAGAATTAAAGAAAGTTTTTGAAACAAGTTCAGGTCCCTATTGTCTTTAGAATAAAAGTAAAAATCTAAAGGGAATGCATTTTCTAGTACATTTCACTCTTCGCCAGAGAAGCCCAAAATATTGAACGCTGCACTCTATTCCTCCTCTTTGATGTAACCCATTTTCATGTCTCAGAAGTGAAGCGAATCATGTCAGTGTATCTGTAGTTACGAAACTTGTTCATAGATGCTGCTGTTGACTGGTATAGAATAGCATAATATGAAATTTGTCACGCGCAGAGCACATAAGTAATCTTTCGTGTTCAGAATGAAATAAATAGTTAGGACACCCAAAATATTGAAGACAATATTACTTACGTGTATATATATTTTAAGGTGCGGTTCCTTCCACTAAGGTGATGCACTTTTAGACGTTACCTAGCATCCAATATGATGAGAAAGTGTTCATTAATCGTAAGCAATTAAGTAGATATTTTGAAGGTGGGGACCCGGGACTATCTGAAGCAACTGCGTTGATGAACTGAGGAATAACACCAAAAGCTCCATCAGGATAGCCACTAACCTAGCCAGAAATACTCAAGTTAAATTAGGTAATCTGCCTTCGTAATGGCGAATTCTATATTTCTTAGGACTGAACATGTTCTGAACTACAGAAAGATTATACGAAAGTATATAGCAACTTTGTGACCCTCTGAAGATCTAGGACAACTTGAATTTCAGTGTTTTCTGTGTAATAGTAGAGAATCGAGGAAAAGCATAACATCGCCATCTCTGAGAACTATAAAACCCAAGAATACAATATAAATCTTTCTTTCTCTAAAATTCTAGAATACGAATCTCTTCTTCGTCCTTGGGACCCTATAGATGGAAGAGGGGACATTCGAGGTTTTAAATTTCCCCTTCCAGCAGAATAGTACAGTAGTGTGAGATTAGGCATGTGTTTGTGTGTCTCTTTGTCTCACCCACTGGAGAGTGCTGTGATACTAGGAACATGAGCGTCCCTCGACTATTCTGAAACCTGAAAGGAAGTCAGAGATGCAGCACTGAAGGAAATTTCCACCAAAATGAATTATACGAGCTTTAGTCTATAAATTCCAGATTCATTTGAGACTCGAGTCTGTGTGGGATGCGTTTGCTTGAGAGCGTTTATAGCGCTCGGGTTGTGAGGAACCTTGTTCTATAGTAATTACATCTAACTGAACATTAAGTCAAATGTCCGACCGCGCTGCGACCATGTCCGGTTATAACATGCTGCAATCCCTAAGACGTTTGTCGCTGTTCCTGACAATAAGGAAGCAACATCTGTTACTCTAAATTATAAAGGCTCACCGAATTTAGTCGTCACTGTCGATATGAACCATTTTCCCATGTGAAAATAGCAATATTTAAATGGGTAAAGCTGTGGATTCTTCAGAGTAAAAGAAAAGGGAGACATGATAAATACTTCAAGAAGGAGAGTGAAGCATAAATATATCGATTTTAAAATTAATATACTGGTAAATAGTCGTGAAAATGAAAATCAGTTACTAGGCTACTGTAGAACAGAAGTTCATTAATTACTTGTAATTTATAATTTTAATTTGTGAAGAAAATGACGCATAATCTAGGCCTCAATGAAAATACAAGAAGAAAATGTGTTTAATCTTCAACTTCTGTGTTAAAAAGCCGTGATTTCAATTAGTTTAGAAAGAAATATATACGAATATTCGAAGTTAAAACGTGGTGTTCTACTTCGAATTAACAACATAATAACTACTTAAAGAAATAAAGATATTGTGTAACTGAGAGAACTTCAAGACTCACACGCTTGTTTATCTAAAAGTAACATAAAAGTCGTATTGGACGTCACAGTAATAGAAATTTAATTACTTTTAATTACATATACTTTGATGGTCTGCTGCTTTGAAGAAACAATTTAAATATAAGCACTTGAAGGAAGAGAGACATTATGGAAGTAAAAGAACTCCAGCTTTCATACGCCTGATAATTTAAAAGCAATACAAAAATCACGGGATACGTCACAGTTCACACGTGTGTAAACATTCTTACTTGTAAAGTAAAATAAGGTAAAGTTGTCCCTATACTTAACTAATTAAGCACTACGCTATGAAGGCGTATGGGGAAGTGGATGTGTAGGTCTGCATTTCGTTGACCTCGGCACTAGTTGGAGCCAACTGGTCAGCTTCACGCCCCGGCCGCTTTACTCCTGGGGAAGGAACCACCAGTTCCCATTAGATAGGAGGCTAGGTGGACCCCAGAGCCGGTATGGACGACATGGAGAACAGAAAATTATTGACCCTACCGGGACTTGAACTCCCATTCTTCGGCCTTCCAGCCTGTAGCCAATCGCTATACGGACTATGCTCTCCCGGCTCCCATTTTGAAGAAATAATCTTGTTAATTTCATTGATGCAACTGACGTACATGCTCATGGTGATGACGGCAGTACTGTTAATAGGAAAGTACTATACGGTTAGAGGACACGAATTGAACTCACATTAGAGCTCTCAATTAGCTGAAAGTTCGCATGGATGTGCCCTGCCGCCCAGAATGCACAGTTTCATTTATATGAATTTTTCTCTTTGTTTCACAGCTCCTCCCATGAATCCGACAATATTTGACGACAGAGGCAAGGAGGTTCCAAGTGTTGCAGGTCCTTACGAAGAGGGACGGGAAATGAAACTGCTGTGCATGGTCTCGGGTGGTGAGTGTCTCTAACTACTGCACAACTTTCTCTCAGCATCTGCTCCTCTTAGTTAGCTCAAGTCCACTTGTTTTTCGTCGAAAAAATCAGCTATTTTTTGTAGGTTAAGAAAATGAGAAACTTTCTGTACTCTCTACAAGTATTATATTGATGTTAACTTAAATTATGAATATGTATACTTAACATATAACTTATAGTTCTGAAAACTTCAGTCATATTTATTAGAAAACTTGTATACAGTGTTGTTCATGAGACTTGCCGCAGAAAACCGAAATACAGAACTGATCATTTACTATGTATAGTTCTATTTATATACGTGCACATTTTTGATAAAATTAAGATAGTAAAAGTAAGAGTAAAAAGTAAAGGTATCCCTGTAACACGCCGTGGAGGCGCATAGGATTGTGAGATGTTGAGTTTCCCACATTTTATCTGGACAGTCGGCTCATACATGGCGGCAAGGTTGTACGTGCTGGCCGCACTTTACCCCCAAGAACATTCTAAGAATATTCCTGGTACTCATTTCTGTTGGAGGCTGAGTCTACCCCAAGGCCATAGTGCGGCTAAAATTAAGATAGTAGTATTATTTTTATGTACCATCATGGAATACGGTGGATGGATAGCGAAATTTACTCTACATCTTCGAGTTTGTTCTATTCCAAAGATGGGGGCAGCATGCCCCGCCGAAACTTCTGTATCCGTGTTCCAAACTACATGACGTTACATCCGACGTTAATAGTGACCACCGAGACGAATCTACGCCACGTATTGATGAACTTGTTTAATAGCAGTGAAGGAATGTTTGTTCAAGAACTCATATCGGAGAGAATCCGTCACTCAATGTTCAGACAATTTTATGCAGTCTGAACAAATTTTGTTACATGAATTTTTATATTAAAGAAAGGTATGTAGTTATTGTAATTTATATTCTGTAAGAACCGAAATTATTTCAATCTGTCCCGTCTCCTGCCAGAGAATCGAAACGGGGTGTTAATCAAATGCGGGATACTAGACACAAGATCACGACCTGATATGGATTGTACAAGTATTTCATGTTTCGTAAGGCGAAATCAAGTGGCGCCTCAATCGGCGTTCCAGCGTACTCCTTGCACCTGATGCGGAAAGGGCATTGCATTGTTTTTTACGATTTTACTTTTCACTTTTTGCATTTATCATATATTTCGAGAGATATACGTATTAATGCTATATCATTTTTAACGTAATATTATATATTAAACTTTTCATTTAAAGAAAATCAGCTCCAGTAATTTTGATAAATAAGCGTGTTATGCAACTAATTCCTTTCGCTGCTGGCATATTATGCCAACCGAGCCTAGGGAAGTCTGACCGAATTTGAATGACTAAAATGATATAGAGGCAGCGGCAAAGCTACCATTGGAACAAACTGTACTTCCCAGGAAATGGAACAGCATTTGTAGCGGACCGTCCCTTTGTGTGGTTATGTACACAAGAGCCCTATTCAATATGGCTTATTGCTAGTAGACGATAAACATCTAATACATAGGGCTGTGGCTTCGATTCTAGCTTGGAACAAGTAGGATAGCTAAGAGAAGGCAAATAATGAGGTGTACCCCTCTAACCTTAATCTGAAAAATTCAGTAGAACCTATGGTCAGAGAACACAACATTATGGGCCACAGGTAGTGCAGTTCAGACTGTAGTTGTCAAGTCCTTCGTGTCAGTATCTGTACTCATTCTAACGTTGTTTTAAACGTTGAAAACGCTTCTATGAAAGGGATCTCTTTATATGTCTACCTCTGTGGTCTAGTGGTCACAGTTCCTTGCTACAGATCCAGAGGTCCCGGGTTCGATTCCCAGTGCTACCAGCTCTTCTGAGAAGTGGTGGTTCTGGAACGGGGCCCACTCAGCCTCATGAGGAAAATTGAGGAGCTATTTCAAGGAAACAGCGGCTCCGATCTAGAAAACCGAAATTAACTGCCGCGGAGATTTCGTTGCACTGACCACGTGACACCCTCTATCCGCTAAAGTTTGCACTAACTTCGCCAACAAGCGGCGGTCGCTCGGTCGGTATAGTTCGCTTGCGGACTACAGGCCACGGAGTTCTACAAGAACTTTGTTGACAGCGGCATAGAACAGATTCCCCATTGAGGACTAAGGGTCGCTCACTAGATCCAGAAGTTTCATTTTCTTGTCTTTAAGCGACTGCCATCGATCTCTTTCCCGAGTCAGATAAATGTAGACCGATTTGTTTAGCATTATCATCACATCTGCGCCTAGGTTTCATTACGTGTCATTGGATTTTTTCCAATTGACCTAATCCTTCCAGCCGCACCATGGCCCTGGGTTTGCCTCAGCCTCTAACAGAAATGAGTACCATGAATTAATTAAATAATTCTCCTGGGGAGTAAAGTGCGGCTGGCGCGTAAGGCTGACAACCTTACCGCCATCTTTGAGCCGATTGTCTAGATAATGTGGGACCCTCAACGTCTCACAACCCTATGGGCCTTCACGGCCTGGTACAGGGATAGCTTTACTTTTTTTTACTAGTATTTAGTAGGAATTTTTGCCGTAATTTTTTATCGGCCATTTCGTTCTCCTCGATATGATAACCTTGATATATTTTAATTCTTTCTTCGGTCTGTACACCGCGTGGAAATTTAGGAATTACATCCAGCCCTCATTTTCATAGTATAGATGACTTAGATCCTGATGATTGAGGCAGCATGTACCTCCGAAACGTTGGGAGCACTACCTACATCCACACGATCCAAAAGCTGGATCATAAGTGAACCACTGTGAAAGTAAAAAAAATCAGTATTCAATAAAATTTGATGAATAGTGCATATCGCGAATTTCCAAGTTATGTAATTTTGTTCACCTGAAATGTTACCAAGATGGTAAACTTGATGACAGTAGTTGTAAGATACTTGTCTGCAGTGCTGTCATTGTATGTGAAAATCCAGGGAAACGAGTCTTAATGCAATTCTGATACTTTTGTATTTTCGTAGATCATACTTAACTTGTAGGAATAAATTATTATTATTATTATTATCATCATCATCATCATCATCAAAAAGCAAACTCGCAGATTGAAATCCAAACACTTTTACAATTTGCCTACAGTCATATGGCCAACTTAACCGTCTTCTTGCTGGTAGGCCTAAATAGAGTTGATACTGCTTACAAGCAAGTTGACACAGAAGTCCGAATTTGTTACTCTTTTCTGTTAATTATTAATTACCCCCATATATGTAAGTATCTTTGATATGAGTTCCTTATGTAGTCACCATTCCTAATGTCTCTTACAACAAGACACTGTAAAATGGAAAATTACTATTACGGAATTATTGTGCTTCCTGTATCATTTGTAGCAGAGGTCTCTAGTTAGGCGCAAAATTAAAGAAAGGCAAAGTCACAAAGGATATTTTGAATGCTGATCCCTACATCTTCATGGATGTTATCATTTATAACTTTAACTGGACTATAATACAGGTAACTTTGCCTACTAGCGAGGGAATCTGGTTTATTCAATTCAGACAAACACAGGGATCGGTGTGTTATCTGTACGGATCATTTGCTCTCATGAAAACAGGTTTGTATGTCCTATTTATTCCAAACAGCAATGGACGCCCTGTGTTTACACTACAGCTTTCCCGCCTAATGTACGAAATACAAAGCATGGTCCACTGAATGGACTAAGAGTATCTGGTTACATTAGTAATTATTTTGGAAACTTTCGCCGGGAAATAATAAAGGCCCAGCACCTTTTATATTGGATCCAAGTTTCGAAATTTTCACAAATATTCTGTTAGGTATCCAGATGATTCTTCACCATGGCAGTAAAATCTTTCTCTTTTACTTCATTCTTGTACATTTTACTTCAGCTCGCCTTCAGACTTCAGTAATCATTACCCTTGGTTAATTTTAATTTTAGACCTGTATTTCCATCGATATATGGGTTTTGCATGGAATTGCCACGTCAAAACCCGATCGAACGTTCTGCGGAAATCTATAGTTTTATTTGCTTTAGTATTATACCTAATTGGATGCGCTGAAAATATTATGGTATTTAGACCCGTTGCTAGGCAACGACTACAAAACAAACAACGAAATAACAGCTGTTGCTTGGTAGCAGCCCGCGCGCAACAGTGAAAGTAGTGTTGAAAGCGATGTTCTCTATGTGGTCCACTCCGAGACTATGTAACTTGACCGACCGAGTTCACTTCAGTTAGTTTAGTTGGTGATGCAGTGCAGTTGAGTACAGCGGAGTGAATTGAGTTTACTGTGAGCAGTGAGAGAACCACAGTTTAATCGTTGTTAGCTGTTGCTCTTAGAAGGTAGTTAGCTGAGGCACGGTGATATCTCGGGAACCCAGAGGAAGGGGAACGTCCGCCGTTGAGAACCGTTATTAGGCAACGACTGATGAAGACACAGGAGACTAAGAAGATTTAGTACATGCTGTAGTAAACTGCAGAGCATGTGAATTAGCGATAGCGCTATAGTTACTTGTAGTTAACAATCTGTAAATGGTCAATAAAGTCAATTACCAATCCAAACCCCTTCTATAGTCACTCATAAACGTGACAATATAATTGAGAGACGTATAATGTTATAAGGGATCTTAGGTATTTTATTCACGAGGTTCGAGACAGGGTCCTATAGCAAGCGTTTATAAACACGAATGTAGATCCTTACATGCCATACAAACGGAGCGTTTTCATCAAAATAAAAATCATAAGCTTTTCAAGGAACACTATTATTTTTTGGTGTTTACTTCAAATAATTCATTGCTAGAAATGAAAATCTCTTAAAGTTGCAGTTATGTTACATTAGCTATTTGCATGTATTGACGAAGTGAATATTAATTTTAACATAAATGTAAGCTCTAAGGGCTCGTGTGGTGTACCGGTTAAAGTCTATGGGTTGGTTAAACTTTGATATTTTCCTTTTTGATTCATCTCAGTGTATTCATGCTGCCGACATGAAACATATTTCTGGGGAACACGACCAACGGATCTC